AAATATAAGCTTAGAAACTCTGCTAAGAGCTTTTATTAAAAGAACTGTTCAAACAACTTATAAAGCAGAATAGACATGGTTGCAGAAAAGGAAGAACAAGGAACACCAACTTAGAGTTCAAAAGCAAGAATGGAAAGCCTTTAGGGAAATACTAGAAGGTTGCCGCAAGCAATTCTCGAGCTCAGAAGTGAATTATCTACATCTATTCAAAATCAAGTGTATCGAAAATATCCTTCTAACAGTAGAAATACTAAATAATAGAAAACTGCATATTTACAAAAACAGACTTTGCAAGAGGTGTACAAAAGAAAATGAATCAATTAACTATCTAATTGAATGCTAAAAGTCACAACTAGCTTTAACAACAATTGAAAAGAAAGTATGGGAACAACTTTCTGAAGATGAATAAAAAGAAAAGAAATAGAACCTCAAGAGCCTCAAACAGGCATTAAACAGTAGCTTGGAGAAGAGAAGCCAAATACAAATAGAATGGCTAAGAAGAATTCTTAACGAAGAAAAAGTATCAAAAATCAAAAATATAGTTGGATCAGAAAAGATAATGATTAGATTCTGGTGTATGTTCTGACAAATCTGAATAAAATTATTATACAAAGAAATTTAGAAGAGCTGATGCAAAGACATAGAAGCTTGGAAAAAAAAAGAAAATATATCTCGAAAAGAAAAATATTAACAAAAAGAAAAGATGGAAGGAAGAAAAAGTAAAAAGAAGAAGAAATATAAAGAAAATACTAGTAAAAAGACTAGCAAAAGCAGAGTAGATAAAAACACAGATATAAGTAGCATTAGTCTTAGAATAGCATTATGTAGTATAGAAAGGGAAGTTAAGGAGGGTAAAAAAAGTAATTGGATATAATAGCAGTTATGACGGGTTGTGGCGTCCATCCTATAAGGATTTGTTTCTGTGATAATATATTAACAATAATCTAGAATAAAGGTCACTATAGCAGATCGCATATAGGTATTTTTAGAATAACCAGATGAGTCGGAACTTAAAAAATTAGGCATTAGAAGGTTTAACCATATAATGTTGTTTTTTTATATAAAACAAATCTAAATAAAGTTATAGCATGACTACTGAATGTTAAAAAAAAATATATATAACTAAAAATCTATTCTATAACACTAGTTTAATTATTTAGAACAATCTAAATTTAGATTTAGAAATAATAGCTAATAAGAAAGAATAAGTAGTTGAATTAAATAGAATACTAATTAAAAGTCTAATAAAAAAAAAACTTTTGTTAAGGTAGCTAAGATACTCTATAATTCAATATATTGTTGTTAGAACAAATTTTAAATATAAAAGATCATATTTAATAATATAGTAGTAGCTTAAAACTGTTAAAAAGAAGTTAAAGAAAAGTAAAAAAGCTATATAGTTTAAAAAAATTAAAGAACAAGTACTAATCTGCAAAGAGAAAAAAGAAATTAATAACAAAGTTAAAACAGATATAGAAAATATTCTAGATATACTAAATTTGCTCAAAGAAATTTTTTTAGATAGAAGAAGATACAAGTAGATCATCTATAAAGATAGTCTTAGCAAAAGCAGAAAAATAGAAAGAGTACAAAAGAAAAAAGAAAATAGTATACTAGTAAAGTATTTAGAAAATAAAAAAAATACAAAGTAAAAAGAAATAAAGAAATATGAAAGCTATATTAGCAACAGAAAAAAAGTATATAAAGAATATAAAGCTTAGTAATCAAAAAAAAAGTTCTAGAATCTTAGTATAATAGTTAGATTACCAGATCATTATACAAGAGATCTGGAGTTCAAATCCTACTGTTGACGAATTTGAATAATTACCTAGACCTTTGTATCTAACTTACAGTAAACTCTGTTTGTTTTTAGAGTTGTAACTCTGTAAATTATATTGTATTAATATTATCTAAATATTGGAAGTGTAATGAGGTATTTGGTGAGATATAATATTATATAAATAAATCTTGATAGGATCTAAGAGCAGAGGACCTGTATGTAGGGATGGGTGTTAATATACTATGATATAATATGCATGGTATAATAACCGTATAATTGGTATAGTATAATTATAATTATATCTTATAATTAGTATAATTAGTATAATATGCAGTGTAACATAAAATTTAGAAAATCAAATTTAAAATACTATCACTACGTATAATAATGATAATAAAAAATATATTTCGATAATATTAATATAGTAAAAAAAAAGAGTAATATATGGAAATATTGGATAATTCTTGCAAGAAATATAGCTGAAGATCAAGATGATCAAACAGAAGAGCAAACTGAAGACCAAGTTGATAACCAAACTGAAATTCAAGCTAAAGATCAAATTGAAAATGATAAATCGCATCCACATATAAAATGCAAATATTGCTCAAAAATCTTTGAATGAGGAATTGCTACTCGAATGCAAGTACATCTTGATGCTACTTGTTCGGAAACACTAAGTAATGCAAAATCAAAATCTAAAATACAAAGAAATATATCATCAACTATTAAAACTAGTACATCTGTACCTCGTAATTTTAATGCTTCTCGTGTTCAAAAATAGTTAAAAACTATACCTATTAATAATTTTGTTGATAGTATGAGTAATAATGAACAAGAATCTCTTGAGTTTGAATTAGCACAAGCATTATTCACAACAGGAACATCATTTTCTTTTCTTGAAAATCCATATGTTATTAAATTTTTTCAGCATATCCATCCCACATTTAAATTACCAAATCGAAAAAAACTTTCAAATGAATTGTTAAATAAGGTTTATGATAAAGTAACTATAGAATCTAATATACAAATTTCACAAGCACAAAGTTTATCTATGATTTCTGATGGTTGGTCTAATATCAATTAGGAATCTGTACAAAATTTTATTGTTTATATACCAGAACTTTTTTTTTTTGAAGCAATTTATTCAGGAGAAATATCACATACAGTAGAATAAATTTCAACTCAAATAATTCAACAAATGGAAGCAATTAATATTGAAAAATTTTCAGCAGTTATTATAGATACAGCTAATGTAATGAAAGCAGCATGGCATATTATTGAAGAAAAATATCTTACAATAGCCTGTTTTGGATGTGCATCTCATACACTAAATCTTTTAATCAAAGATATTTTAAAAATTAATAGCATAAAAACTGTAGTTGATAATGCAACAAAGTTAGTAAAATATTTTAAGAAATATCTACAAGCAATGGTAAAACTTAAATGAATTCAACAAGATAATTACAATAAAGAAATTGCATTAGTTTTACCAGTATTAACATAGTAGGGTACACATCTTGAATGTTTTCAGTCATTTCAAAAAACAAGAATCGCTTTAGAACAAATTTTAATAGATTTAAGAATTCATGAAACAATAGACTCAAGTTTAAGAATTTATATACTATACGATGAATTTTGGGAAAACTTAAATTTAATTGCAAGTATTTTAAAACCAATAGTCATTATATTAAAATTATTTGAATCAGATAGATCTACACTTTCATCGATTTATTCTAATTTTAAAAAAATGATAAATTCAATTCAAGAAATTTTCTATAATTTTTCTAATGAAATTCAAGAACTTATAGAAGAGCGATAGAATTATATTTATCATATTATTATGATAGTTGCATATATGCTTGACCTATGATTTTTAGAAGAAAGTAAAATTTATAACATAGAACCTATCAGGTATAATGCATTTACAACATATACAAATCAAAAATTTGGGCAAGAAAAATCAGTAGAGTTATTCATTAAAATAGTTAAATTTCGAAATAAAAGTTCTCTGTATGATAATAATATTATTTGGGAATCGGCTACTGAACTTACTCCAGCAATATAGTGGGAATCTTGGCCAAATAGTAGTCTTAAACAGCTTGCAATAAAAATTCTCACAATTCCAACATCATCTGCTGTAGCTGAACGGAATTTTTCTACTTTTGGTTTTATTCACAACAAACTTCATAATCACTTGTATAATAATTAAGTCAAAAAATTAGTTTATATATATGGAAATCTACGAGTACATAATTTTTTAAAAAAATTATAACATAACAGGATCGAAACTATAATTAATCATAATAATGAAACTAATCAAAAAATTACCAGTAATTGTGAAGAAATAGATAATGAAGATAAGGAAGTAGAGAATATGATTTATGAAGAAGAAATCAGTGAAGGAATTGAAGAAATGATTAAACAAATCTATTCATCAGATATTGATATTGATAATAATAATTCATTAATATTAAATTTAGATAATAATGACAATATATTATGGAATCAAGATACAGAAATTAATAGTATAATAATTTTATAATAGAGAATAGTTTTATAAATATAATAGGTATTGGTATAGTAAAATTTTCCAATTGTTATATAATAATAATAATTCTCATATGTAATATATTTACATTACTGTATTAACATAAAATAAAGTAGCATAATACTAGTAGATGTAGCTAAATATTCTGGTTTAGTCTTGAATCGTCATACTATATATATTTATTAATATGCAATAAATTTATTCTTGAAATTTGATAATGATTATAAATTAATCATATGATTTACCTAATACTAATTATACCTATATACAGTTATTATACAGTATAATAACCTGGTATTTATACCAAATCATATTATACTATATAATGCCTATCTCTACTTGTATGGTAAAAATCCTAAATTAGTAAAGTAATATAGCTTTCAACGGTCATACTAGATAATACTTGATCCAGAAAAGAAACTATTGTCAAAAAATACAGATCGAGTCAAATATATATAAATTCATTCTACAGGGAGGATCAGTAATACAAATTTGGCTTAGTGGCTAACTAAATTAGAAGAATCTGTCTCATAAAATATCCAAAAAGATAGAATACAGAAAACTATGAAAAGCTAGGGTAAGAACTAGAATTGTACAAATATTTACAAAGGTTTAAACTAGATGAATCTGTAAAATTGATACAGATTACTCTAATAAGTATACTTTGAGGTTAACTAGTTTTGCAATATCTACAATATATTAGGTATAATATATTCCAAGAGGATTTAAGCCATTCTGAATAAATAGATCTATAATGAGCTAGTTAGCTTAAGTAATTAGATATTGTAGTAATATTAGGTTAGATCTGTATAGGTTAATGAATAGAGTGTTTAAATAGGTAACTCATAGGTAGGTTACAGGTATAGCAATATAGTATAGAACTAATCAGATAGTCTAATCATCTGTGTGATGAACTACTTAAAATAGACAATAACTAAAGTTATATATGTAGCTTGTTATACATTTTTCATATAATTATAAATAGTAAGGACTATCAATATATATTCTATAGCAATTCTAATAAAATTCTTTCAGCAATATTTGCTATCTTAATAACAAAAAAAAAGAAAGGTTCTAAAAGTAATTCTAAAAAATTATATAAATAGAAAAATAGAAATAATTAATTTTTTACTAAAATCAATAGCTATAATTAGAGACTATTAAAAAGTTAAGAAAAAGAAATAGTCTTTTACAGACTTAAAGGTAGTTAAGAAATATAAACTTAAAATAATAGAAAAGTAAAACTTTAATACAGATCTAGCAATAATATTTAAGAAAAAAATATTAAAAATTAGTTTAAAAAGAAAAAAAAAATAGAATTTTATACAGATAGATTCTTAAGTAAAAGAGAGAATAGAAAAAATATAGGAATAGGATAAGTAGAAATAGATCAGATAGAAAATAGTATAATTATTATAGGAAATTTAAAAGTTGTTAACTAGCTAATATTAACTAAAGTAGAGCTAGTAAGAGTTTAGATAGTTTTATTATTAGTGTAATATAATATAATAGTTAGAGTTCTCACAAATAGCAAACAAGTAATAGAGAGTATAACTAAAGCTTATAAAACTTAACAATATAGTAAATAGATCAGAATAGATAACAGAATTATCTTAGAAAAGATTGTATTACTCATTAAGCAAAAAGATATTAAATTAGAGTTCAAGAAGGTTAAAAGCTATACTGATAACAAATATAATAATAAAGCAAATTAACTAGCAAAAGAAAGCAGAAAGTTAAGTATATTTCTAAATTTTGATATAGTTAAAAGTAAAAATTTTAGCTCTAATATAGTATAAAAATCAAATAAAATTAAGAGCTTAGTTAAGTAGTTTATAACAAAGCTTATAAAAAAATATAATGATACAGAGTAGATATACTAAATAAAAAATAATTCAGCTAAAAGTTCAAAGTATAATTGGAAAAAGTTATAGCAGAGAATTAAAAAATAAAAAAGAATAAACTACTTGTTAATAAAAGATAGCAAAAGCTTTATTATACAAATTAAATGCTTGATAAATAGCCTTCTAATTCTTAGCTAACTCAAAAAATAAAAACTATTTCTATATAAAAGTAATTACTACATTCTGTGCAAAAAAGAGATCTCAGAAAATTTTGAATATATAATGAGATATACAGTATTATATGACTTTTGAAAAGAAATTAAAGAAGTAATAATAGAAAGTATTAGTAAGCTTTAATCTGAAAAAGTTAATAGTTTAGATCTGCTACCAAAAATCAGAATAATTATTTTTCTAAAAGACAAAGAAAGTTGATTTCAAAGAAAAAAAGAGATGATAATTAAACTAGAAGAGAAAAAATAACTAAAAATATTTGACTACTAGCTTAAGAAAAAAATACTATGAGAATCTAAATAGATAGTATTTTTTTTATTATTCAAAGAAGCTTTGCAAAGATCATATAGAACTGGTGATATAAAAAAGTAATTTTTTAAAAAAAGAAAAAAAGAATTACAACTAAACTAAAAAGAAATATAGTGAAAAAAAAAAGCTAAAAGTAAGAACTTTGTTAAATAAAAAAAAAAGTATTATTTACAAAAAACAAAAAGAAAAAAAGAAAAAAAAAAGATTAAATAATAGTATTAGTAGATAAAGTAGTAAAAAAAGAAATTAAAGAGAAAGAAATAAGTTAGTAAAGTTTTCTTTAATTTAGTTAAACAAATTGTTTTAGCTATTAGGCTAGTATAATAAGTCATATCTAAGCATTCTAGTAACAACTAGATAATATTAAACTTAGAAAGTTAAGTAGATTATATAATTATATATAACTTGACTAGAATTGTAATTAACAATTTAATAAAGTTTATAACATAACTGTTAAAAAAAAAAAAATATTTTTTTTCTTTAATGAAAGAATCTTGCTACTCATATTTTTATTTAATTTAAATATATAGTATAATATAAATATACTACAAAATACTTAAATAAAATATAATATGCTAAAATATTCTTATATTATATTTTTATTAACAAAGCTAGTCTAATAAAGTTTTTTAAACTAAACTAATATATTAAATTTACTACTTTAACTTATTTGAATACTTTTAGAAGCTTTAGATATAATTAATCTGTTAACAATTTACTTCTTAAAAGTCTTTATATATACATATAAAACAAATTTAAATTCTTAATAGCTTATTAATAACCTAGTTAAAAACTTTTGTTTACTTTCTATCTTGTACTAATCTGATTCAAGATAAGTAGATAATAAAAAAGAAAATAAAAAATTATATATATAATGAAAAACACAAGATCATATATTATATAATAGAATTAAAAAGAAAAAACTTGCTAACAAATAAAAATCTTTAAACAATATATAAATAAAAAAAAAACAAAATAAAGCTATTATACTAAAGTAAGAGACTAAATAAAATTGTGTATATATAATATCTAAATTATTCTTTAAATTTTTAAAGAAATAGAATATTATCTTATAGAGAAAATATTATCTATACAGATTTTCTATAATATGTATTAGGCTTAGTATATATTTGTTGTTTATATATAGTATAGAAAACAATATACTAATAACTAATAGTATTTGTCAATATATATTGCAGATCTTTTGAAGAGAATAAGCCAAATTCTTTAAAAAATACTAAACAATTTAAAAAAAAAATCTAAAAAATGAAGTTAAAAGAAACTACTTTTAAGAGAATAAGATTTTGCTCTTTGTTTTTTTATAAATAGTAAAATATATATTATAATTAGCTATTCTTATACTAGCAGACTACTAGTAAGTATTACTTGAAATAACAAAGATATATAATAAATTTATTTGCTTTTACTACTACTTTTTTGATAGTATTCAAGAATTATATTTAGATAATATAGCTAAAAAAAGCATGTAATAAAGGTATTTACCTATAATATATTGTAAAAGATTTAGAAAAAAAATTGTTATCTATATAATAGAAAAGTATTTTTATAGATTGAGTTTTTTTTTCAAAAAAAAGTGATCAGAAGATTAATAAAAGAGTTGATATCTAATTTTGATTATTCTAAAAATCTGATACAATACTATATTTATTTAATTTCTTGTATTAGTAAGTATTACTTTTTTTGTAATTTTAGATCTATTTTGTATACTTATTATATGAGAGAAATTTGTAATTTTTGTAATTATTTCAATTGAATAATAAGATTAAATAGATTTTAAACCAATAAGATATAAAATATGATATGATTATTGAAATTAAAAATGATAATTTGATTAGTGATTATAAAATTACTTATAAATTACTTATGAGTTTTTATATTCTATTTATGAATAATATTCTGAACTAATTAGTTAGAATTTTCTAAAACTAACTTAAACCAGATAAATTAAGCTAAACTATTTATGAGTATCACTTTGTTATTATCTAATTTTGCATTCTAACTAAAAATTTCTGCTTATATATTAATGAGTGTATTAGATTTTCTTGTAGTTAATTTATTACTATGAAGAGTTCTGTTAAGTTTATTATGATTATTACCTATATTAACTTCTAATTTATCATAAATTTTAGATAGAATAATATTAAATTATCAAATCTATCATTATTTATATTATAGTAAGAATTAAGCATGTTTGAATGATGATTAGGTTAAAAAATTTGTATCTGCTTACCAAAATTTAAGAATTCAGAAAGATATCTGCGAAACTAAATGGTTTGAGAAAGATAAAAATTAAATTTGTAGTAATGCATCATATATTTATACACAGATAGCAAAATGCAAAAAAAAAAATTTTGCATACAACAATAATATTAAATAGATAGTAAAAACTTCGCTTATTACAAAAATATTTTTATTATAAAATTGCTTTAATTTGAATATAATTTAAGGATGTATCATATTTTTTTTTTAATTTTTGGTATATTTTGAATAAGAAATAAAAAATATCATAGCCAGTGCTGAAGTATAAATTAACCAATCATATGTGGTAATCCCAGCTTTGACCATCAGTGCTATAATCACCGATGTTTT